TATTATTATTATTATTATTATTATTATTATTATTATTATTATTATTATTATTATTATTATTATTATTATTATTATTATAAAGACAAGCTCTTTATGATTAATATGGTTCCTCTCTTATAACTTAAACTTTTTAATTAATTTAACATTGTATTAGTGACACACAAATGAGTTACAATCTCGTCGTTCAAGTGTTTGTGAAAAAATTATTATGTGTTTTAGAATTGTTATCATCAGTTTGAACTACAAATAAATCAAGTGGTGAATAAGTAACAATGCTTGTAAATATCATGAAATGTAAGAATAAAAATGATTAGACCGATTATAATTAAATTATAAACAGCTGACAAAATGCGCCACATAAAAAATAAATATAGCCTACACATGAAGAATATGTTAAAGACAAGATTTAATTTATTAAATCTAGCAAAGAAGAAAGAATGTATTACCCCACTATCATTCATGAGAGACATCACGAATTCGTGAGTCCAAGAACTTGGCTTATAATAGCCGGAATGTTGATTTGTACTCAAATTTTTAGCTTGTTCATTTGCAACACAGTGTATTCTCCACCTTTGTTCGGTGTTTCCAATAGCTTTTGTTATGATTTGTTTGGGAAGGTTTCGAATGAAAGAGGAACCAAGGGGTAGGAGGAAGATCTAAGTGCCACCCAAATGAATATGATACAAGTACCACAAAGAATACGATTTTCTAACTATGTTTATTATGCCCATAATCTTTGGGAAGGAATATATATAAGCATAGTGCATGGAAGATATTTTCTTACATGTGTCTTTTTCACATCATTTCTTTTTCAAAACAAGTTTTCAAACAAAAGTGTGCTGCACATTTACAACACTATTCAAATCTTTAACATTTTGAATTTTCATAATAATGATGGGGGGAAGCACATTGCCTTTTTGAAATCTCTACTGGCGGTTTTCAATTGTTGTAACAATGACATCTTTGTTGCAAGTTCAACTTCAACTGATATCCCTTAATCTTTCACAAAAGTTTGGTAACAGTATAGTTATTTCCTTGGGATAATAGGTTAAATTAATGATTTTAATAAAATAATAATACTTTTCTGGAAACTCTTATGTAGCTCTGTGTCATTCATATCATAAATTAATAATTTGCCAAATTTACAAATATAATTGACTATTATATTTTATCAAATTATGACTTTATTATTACTTATTTTTCTTGAAATTTAAATATAGATGAATCTTATCACTAATTTTTCTTATTGCATCTATAAGTTCTAGAGTTCTCGAATTACGATAAAAAATTTACGAAGTGTTGTTTATGTTTTGAGCATTTCTTGCATGCAACAGCTCCAAAGTTATTGTATCAACCCTAACTTCGTCATTAGTAGGATTTTTAGTTACATTAGAAAAGACTTCTTCTAAACTTGAACCTTTGAACTTGCATCATTTTCACTATGCTAATTCAAAAGGTAATTTATGTTCGGTAACCCAAATATTTAATTATTGTCTCAAGTTTATGAATGCCATGTTCATCTAAGCATTAATTTAAGTTCTTCAAGGCCATTTCTTACAAGGAACGAATTTCATAATGTTGAAAACAATTTGCTTTTATCTATGCCTAAACATTTATCTTCCAAGCTGTGAGACTGCAAGATTGATTGCATCCAAAAAGATTATTTTTTTTTCTAGATATATGCAAAATGCCTTCTGCCGCAACAGGCAATAAACACTGCAAAAGATTTTTCATAATGTTCTGGTGTATGTTGAGTTCGATGTTGTCATAGAGTATACAGATACAACAATAAACCATGCATGTTACGATTAGCCTTTGTTTGAGCCATTATTTCCATAAGAATACATTTTTGAATAGTGCATTGATGAAAAATGTGTGGTTAACAAATAAAGAAAAATTTTGAATTTGCATGTAATATTATTTTATTAAAGAATATGTGGTTGAAATTATGTCAAATCACTGTTTAAGAAATGTATTTTTTAAAAAGAATGTGGATCAAACATGGCCTTAATATTTTAACAAATCCCATTGCATGTTACAATTAATGTTTTATCAACATTTATTATACATTATAATTACTCATTGCATGTTACAATTTATGTTTTATCGACATTCATTATACATTATCATTATAATAATTTTTGCAACATTTGTAGTAAATTTCTATTAATGTTTTTGCAACATTAATTGCATGTTGTCGTTATCTTTTAGCAACTTTCATTGAACATCATTGTTAGTATTTTAACAATGTGCAGTGCCCTTTGCCATTAATGTTTTCAGAACAAGCATTGCCCGTTATGCAATAATAAAGAATACCAAATCAATACTCACAAATGCTCAAAAAATTACTCTCTGAAAGAAGATAGTTTACAGCTATAAATTTAATTAAACATAAAACAAAATCTTTGTATAAACTTATATATATCGCATCCACTGTACTGGAAAAGATTAAATACAAATATCAATTCAAAAACACATTTAGTGCCCGTTTGGTAGCCATTTTTTGACAAAATGCATTATTTCAATCACATCCAAGTGGGGCCCAACCAATATTTTTTCATTTCATTTGAATTCAAATTGTCCAAAATGCCAAATTTAACCTTTCCTTGTCTTTAGCAGACGAAGACTTCAGGCCACGTGATTTCGTACTTTTCAATTGTTACGTGAAAGAAAGCATTTGTTGTCTTGGCACACAAATCCACAAAAGTAGTCAAAATATGCATGGCCCATATAATTGGTGCACAACACGACCATTTGTTCTTCTCACTACACACGTTCACGCCACTCACCGTAGACCGATTTAGAAATGGTAGTCACAACGCTATAAATTATTTTTCCCACTATTTCTACACACTAAAAGATCAAGATTACAACGTCAAAAAAAATTCAAACAACACAGATAATTATTCTCCAACTAGTGCAAACTGCAAACTAGCGTGCATGGTACGTTTGCCCCATCGGGTACCCTCTCTCTCACAAACAATCAAAAAAAGGGAAATTAATTTCTCGCGGACTGCGTCCCAATTCTAACGCACTTTACCCCAATCACAACTGCTGGGCCATGTAGTCACGAAATTTGTCCCACTCATTGCGCTGCAATTTCAGTGCATGCATTTTGGCATGCATCTTGTGATCCGCATTCGACAGCTCAACATCGGCTGCATCTTCATCCTCGTCCGCTCTCGTGAATGCCTCATCCACCCCTACTCATTGGAGAAAATTATGTATACCCATCGTGGCCACGACAACAACTTGCGTTGGGAATGAGTAGCTAGGCCTGCGATCCAATATTTCCCATCTTTCTTTCCACATACCGAACACACGTTCGATGACGTTTCTGCATGATAAGTGTCTGAAGTTAAACTTCTCACGAGCGTTTCGAAATCGACAACGTCGTCTCGTCCGCTCATCACGAAGCTGTTGGAAGTGATACAGTATGTCTGAACCTTTGTACGGGGCCATGTACCCGAGCCGATGCGCAAATCTTAAGTCCACTAGATAGTACTTTCCGAGTCCTGGGAGCAAGAATAAATGTCTAGCGAGTGGATGGCACACACATGTTGTCGAGCATCGTGCGTATTCCTGGTGTGCCCTGCTAACACAAACGTGAAACATAAATTGAAATCGCATGTGGCCAGCACATTTTGGGGTAGGCGCTCCTTTTCTTCCTATGAAATGCACAAGCTCGTTCCACGGTAATACTACTTTGACATGCATCTCGTTAATGGCATCAATGCAGTCTTGGAACAGTGGGTGCTTGTTTAAATCGAGTCTGTGAGACCACAAACTATCGTTGTAGTTATGACTCGGTCGGATCAAACGCGTTGACAGCACGATCACCGCGCGTAGGACCTCTTTCACGTAGTGACAGATGGTTTCGAATGAGTGGTTGAATACTTTATTCACTTGCCGATATCCCTTCCCGTGCACTAATATGCAGAAGAACATTTTCACTTGCTCTTAGATGTCAACATGTTGACTGCTCCGCAAGCCGTACTCTTCTTGCAGGACATGTACAAAATGTCGCAGCATTGGAGGATCCATATGAAATTCTTGAAAGCACATCTGTCCATTATCGCTCATTGCCTCCATAGTATTCACGAGCATCGCTCCCGGCAATTCTGCAATACGATACCCATGCTGTTGCAACGGCTGTCAAAGAAGTTAGGAGAAGCTCGTCGTCCAAGTCATCCTCCGCATCAGAATGGGTATGCAGAACGCAGCTAAAGTTATGATCTCTTGGTAGGCCAAACATTCGCAATTTCTTAAAAATGACAGCATGTGTAATTTAAGCGCTTGCAAAGACTGTGACGTACTCACTAGGCCTCTCAGCTTCTCACCTTGCTCCGTCCAACTTGATTCATAGGAATTTATAGAACTTGTGCATGTCTAGTATCGTATCACATGCACCTATTCTCTGGTTACTACTAGTGCAGCAAAATTTGCTATTGCACATTTTAACCCAACTACAGTTATTGGAGCTAAAATTCCGCATAGTGCCATCTGCTTTTTGTAAAGTTTGAACAATGATAGTTGCAAAAGTGACCTGACACATTTGGCTTGATAGAGAGAATTTGGACATGTCACAACCTACTCCAGTTTTAGTTTGGCCATGGATCCGTTTGTGGAACAGCGTGGTTTTTGTTTTTTCCTTCCATAATTGAGTGTGAAACGCGTGAATAAATTTAACAGCATATAGCATCTTTGAACGTATAATGAACAAGTGGAGAAAAGTGCGTAAAAAAAATACAACAGTTTTCATACAGGCAGCAAAGGAAAAAAAAAGGCACACAGTCACTGGCATTGTTACTTCCCACGGTCATTAAACATCCACTCAATCCACTCAAATTTCTTATCTGTGTCTTTCATGATGGCAAGCATGTCACGGTATCGCTTCTGGGCTAGAAGCTGGCATGTGAAGAAGTAAAGAGGTGTTCGCCGCTCAAGGCAGCCTGTCACTAACAACTCTTGGATGCAGTCTATCCCAGTGGTTTCATTTGAAGCCATCATCGTATGAATCTTTGCCGCCACTTCCTCTGCCACACTAGTGGTACGATCTACTTAGAATAACAATTCACGAGCAGATATATTTTTCTTCCTGGCCCTGCGCTGCCCACTGGACGACTTCCTTTTACTGCCGCTTGTTGTGCTCGAAACGTTCACGCGATCACTGACCCCCGCTTGTTCGGCCTCGTCGCTCGAACCACTACCCTCTCCTTCCACCAAGATTGCATCCCTAGTGTTCTCAAGCGCACTATCCTCGTACATGCTGAATCTTCTTCTGCACAACTTCATTGGAGTCATAACATACTTGTCTCGATCGTAGCTGTCACCGAATAGCTAACGGTACTTTATGTATATCTCACTGACGTCCTTGTCCTTGAAGTCTTTATAATCCTTGTTCTCCTGCACAGGTTCAGCAATGAGAGTACCATTGTGAAACATAATTCGCCATGTGTCAAAACAAAGAAACAACTGCTACAGAGGTGTAATATAGGGCATGAAGTTAACGACACGAGCAATTCATTGCATGCACAGGAATCAATCCACAATTATATTCGAAGTGTCAAATAATCCCATTAGCATGTAAGAAACACGTTGTTGTGGTTGAGAAAAATGTTATAGCACGAGGTTTTGAAGAAATGAAAACCCAGTAAAGAACGACAGGTAAAAACCATGAAGACGTATCACACAAGACACAACCATCGAATTGAGCAAGCAAATCAATGAACACTCGAATCTGAAATGAGTAGCGGTCGAACAATCACAACACTGCTGTAATGAACTTTGCAGCGCAACCAACATTTACAATATAGTGCATTGTCAAGTTCCAACAACCGGTGGAAGTAAAAAGAATCTCAAAGCATAAACACCTAAGGCAATACAATAATGTTGAAACTGAAATTAGAAAAAATCTAACAATAATTTTGGTAAATGCATTGTTCATTTTCGGCAATGTAAAGCCACAGTCCAGGGGATAATATGTTGTATGATGCACATGTGAACAAACATCAATTTTACCACCGGAAAGGCAATCACTAGTCATGTAGTCAGTCTTGTCCATAATCGGGTTAAGGTGAAACTGGGAGTCCATTACCTGAATCTTCTTGTGCCACCATTCTTCAGAAACAACTATTCGGTCGGTAGCGTCGTTATACTCGATTCTGCTGTTGTTGACAAGCTTCGATAGATGCTTGTATATTCGACGCATTTAATACCAATGATTTCGTAGCTGCTAGTGGGTCCAGTTATGGCTGGTCACGGAGTCGAAGAGTGAGGCGACTCGTTCTCACCCATGTTTTGTAAAACACCGACCGTTCTGATGCCCTTCGGCAATGGCGATCTCGCATGCAACAATGAAAGCTTGGGTGGGTGCCGAGCTCCAACGAGCGTAGGACTTTGAGGCCATCTGTCACACCGTCCCCATCGCTGAGTTGGAATGTCCGTGAGTGAAATCCCTTGGCTGGGAAGTGGAAGAGTTGGTCTTTAACAGTACAAAAACCAAGGGGAAGTGGAAGATGGAAAGATAACGCAATATTTGTACCTATTTTTTGGATTCATCCATTGTCGATCACTATCACTACGTCGATCAAGCGTTGTTGTGGAGTGTGGTTTGAGTGGAACCGATGACAGTTGCTGTGGGAAGTCGTCCATGTGTGGGAAGGTGAAAGTCGACATCGATAGTGCGATTGCTAAAATTTTTGGCCTGTGTTTTGGGTGCTCTTCGCCGGGTTAGAAGACGAATGTGGGAAAAGGAAAGTGTCGGTGGGAGGGGATGTTGAGGGAAAGAGAAAATTTACTGACTATACAATTTGTCAGACAAGTGGGTGGCAACGTTCGATTAATTCATTTTAGGCAGAGAAAAATGGCAACCAAAGAGAATCTTTTTCAGTACTGTGGATGCGATATTTATAAGATGTGGCCCACGACAAGATGAAGATGCTGACCTACCTCATAGATCCTATTATCCCAGCATCGACACAGAAGGGTTTGCATATCTACTCTGACACAGAATGTACTACAATATACCAAGAATCAAATTGTGACAAACCTTCAGATGCCCATGAACCAGTCTAGCCTTCTCGCAATCACCATATCTGCCAAATTATCTGTTATCAGGTCATAAACCTATCCCTGGGTACAACATAGAAAGGCCAAAACCAACCTTCTGTCACACGAAGCCTCCCATCAAGAACTGCTGCATCACACAAGTTCATGTTTGCAATAGAACGCTAGGTTCCTTTGATAGGATCTAGGACTTCAGCCGCTTTAAGCTCCAACATATAAGTGCATTGGCAGACCCACATTGGATCGTAGTGGGTCAAGTGACCCACCAGCTTTAGATGAAAGAAAAGTCTCCTTCCATTACCAAACATTGGATCCTAATGGGTCAAGTGACCCACCAGACCCACATTTTTTTTGGTGGTAGTGGTGATTGTTTTAATAGGCTCCAAAATTACGAAGAAAGAAGAGTGTCCTTCCATTACCAAATAGCAATTGAATTGATTGTTTTCATTGGTAAACTTGTAATTATTGATAAACGGATTATTTTTTTCACTCGAATTAATCGTTTTAATTGGTTGTTTGTATCAAGTATAGAAAAGTACGTTAAATGTAAATCTGAGTTTAAAGTATTGAAAATAATATAATTATGGAACGTTAGAACGCATAGAGAACAGTTGTCATAAGATATCAAATATATTAAACTTTTAGTAACTTTTTTATAAGTTTGATTGTGTTTCAATGACTCTAAATATCTACGTCTGTCACTGTATAAGTCTTGTTACCGCCAGCAATCAAGGTGGAAATCAATTATCCCACTCACAAAAAACGACCTTGTAGTGATCATCTTTGTTAAAGTAAAAATAAATAAATAAAAATTTAAAAATTAATTAATTAGCAGTATCTATGACACGATATATGCTTAGAGGGAAGGGACAGAAAAGGAAGGGAAGTCCTGTAACCTTTCATGTTGATTTATAATTCAGTAATTTATTAGTAAATATGGATATGATGAATAGGAAATTTTAATTAATCTCAGATTAGTATAGTAACGTTTTTCTTGGTTTCAGCAAAATCAGACACAAATTGCTGTTTTCTTTATTGCACACTCCTACTCTCACACTTACCCTCTCACCAAGAACTGATCTGATGCTAAAACCTGGAGGTACTTGCTTTGACATTAAAGTGGAAAATTAATATTATGTAGTTTAATAAACCCTTGTCCATGAAAACTTCTCTCATTCTAAGAACAAGTGAACAGCGTTTAAAAAAATATATATATATCAATACTTATTCTCAATAACCTGGGTAAGCTATCATCTAATCCTGATTTAGGCTTTGTGCTTCCAAATAAATGATAAGAGGAAAACTTCTCACTAGTCACTATCATCTAATCCAAGAACACCACAATAACAACAAATAACAAGCTAAGTTTTATTCTGATCGAACTCTTGGTTGCCTAAATGAATCTTTTTGTCCTGCAAAATAGAGCTATCACTTCTGTTCATTTGGACTCATAACATATCAAATTCATTTTACACAAGGATGAACAAATTTCCAGCCAAATGTACTTAATCATTGACTTGATCTCATATATAAAAAATCCTACATTTATTTATGCATTCAAATGCTAAAATAGAAAGATATTACCTCTTTTTCTCACAGCTTAAGTGTTGTTTGGTTGATTGTCAAACCCAAGTGCAAGCTCTCAATTCCATTTCCATAACTGGAGGAAAAATTGCTATACCGAAACTCAGTGCAATTACTAGGCAATGATTGATCTAGAAAATCAATATAGATATTACATATAGAGATATATACATATGCATGTATAAAGAGTTAATTGTGTATCACAAATACTTTATGAGATTACAACAAAAATGAATGGAATGATGATCAGAAAAAAGGGAATGGCAATTTATTTGAAAAACAAAACAAGAGCAACTGAAAAAATGTAAACATAATCGACTGATGCATGTTCATGCTCGCAATTGAGAGCAGAAGCAGGAAGAATAAATTACTTGGATTTGCCATAGATATATAAGAGTTAATGATGTAAAGCATTATATTCAACAGTTAGTATATATAGACTACCAAAAATTCTCTGTTACCTGAAGCCCATTCCTATCCAATTGCTTAATAGCTAGGAGCTGCCAAAAAAGAAACCTCCATAAAATTCGGAAATTCAATAATCAAGGAATTTGATATGGAAAATCTGACAGATCTGGTCCTCTTTAAACCCCTCTCCCTACCAACAAAGGGAAACATGAAGCATGGAGCAGAGAAATTGACAAATAATGCATTTAGCCGCCAAAAAATCTCTTAACAGGAGGTTATTAAGGCGTGATTTATCTGCTCCACAAAACAAATGGGAATAGCACATAATTTTTTTGAGATGGAATTCATTATGCAAGTCTAGAATCACTTCCAGTCTCACAGACACAGAGCAATAGAAAAAGGAAACAAAAGCGGAGTATTACACAGAACTACACAATAGACATAGAGATCGGTTCCTCTTCGAGTTTGTTATGGTTGGGCTTCAACTTCCACCAAAACTCAACCAATAACCAATAAGCAACCAATAATCAATAACCAGGGGAGTTCAATTGCAGTAATATTCAACCAATAGCCAGCAGCAATAAACACAAGATAACCAGCTGCATGGACACAAGATACAGAATATATATTGTAATTGCTCAAAGTGAGAACATACACTGAAATTACTAAAAATAATCAGTTAATTTCCAATCCAAAATCAGCCATTCATTCCATTAATTGATGATTCAATTACAATGGAGTTGATTACAATGGATTGCAATTAAAAAACAAATATAAAAGATATAGAAATAGACCTGCAGGGAAGGAAGTGAAGAATAGACTAAGAGTAGAAGAAGAGAGCAGAAGAACGGAGAAGTAGAAAGCTGGAAAAACGGAGAAGAAGAGGAGAAGCAAGAAAAGAGCTTACCAGAGGGGAGAGAAATGCAGAAAATAGAGAAGAAGAAGAAGAATCGGTTGGGCTTCAACTTCCACCAAAACTCAACCAATAAGCAACCAATAATCAATAACCAGGGGAGTTCAATTGCAGTAATATTCAACCAATAACCAGCAACAATAAACACAAGATAACCAGCAGCATAGACACAAGATACAGAATATATATTGTAATTGCTCGAAGTGAGAACATAAACTGAAATTACTAACAATAATCAGTTAATTTCCAATCCAAAATCAGCCATTCATTTCATTAATTGATGATTCAATTACAATGCAGTTGATTACAATGGATTGCAATTAAAAGACAAATATAAAAGATATAGAAATAGACCTGCAGGGAAGGGGAGTGAAGAATAGACTAAGAGTAGAAGAAGAGAGCAGAAGAATGGAGAAGAAGAAAGCTGGAGAAACAGAGAAGAAGAGGAGAAGCAAGAAAAGAGCTTACCAGAGGGGTGAGAAATGTAGAAAATAGAGAAGAAGAAGAAGAATTGGAAGAACCAAAGAAGAGGAAGAGGGGAGGTAGACGGTAGCAAACCACCACGATCAATTCAACATTCGACACCCTTCCAAATGCACGCATACAGCTACATATAGACCCAAACAACAACCCTAATGAGACTGGGCTAGCCCACTTAAACAAAATAAACTAAAGGGTCCAACCCATGACATCCCTTCCCCTTAAATTAACCTTGTCCTCAAGGTTCAAAGATGGGATGTCTTCTTTAAGTTAGTAGCCGCCTCATTCTCTTCACCATCCTTGGATTAAGTAGATAGTGTAAGGTGGCACAAGCATCGTAGAACTCCTGTGCAACTTCTGTCGAATCAAACTCCGACCCCACCTGTGGTTCCACTCGCAATTCTCTATCATCATTCTTTTGGCCATTTGGAAAATTATGTTTCTCTCCCTTTGCTACAACCATGGAACTACCATGATTTTCCCAATTGAGTCAAACTTACTGATTCTGGAACCTCCATACTGTCGCTGGAAGAATTTTGACAAATATTTCTTCTACCGACAGATTCTTTGACTGTATAAGTAACTTCAGATTTTTTGATAACATTGTCATATGGAGGTACAAAAGGCTTTTCCTTGACACCATGCCCAGGAATAGATTCTGCATTGATATCATTTTCAATCGTGCTCACATCAGAACCCCTCATACTAGAAATGCGCCTCTCAAAAGCCCCATTAGAAGCCTTAGTGACAAGATCGAATCTCATTTTCTCTACCATCCTTCCACTGCACTCATCAACATCAGTGATGACATCGGTCTGATAGTTTATATAAGCCGAGTTAAGCTTCGCATCCATATGAAGAGACTTCGAGCTATCATTTTCAAGTTGCAGCCTCTCTGACCTCCTAGATTCAGTTGGGATTTCACAATTTTGAGCATTTGACCCACCCAAAAGTATCATTGACACACCGCTTTCACTTACCTCGGACACCTGACTATTTGAATCAAACAAGTTCAGCTTAATCCCCAATTGAGAAGACTTAGAATCATCATCATTTTGGGATTCTTCCTCAATAGTTTCTGAAAATCTCCAGCAAAGCTCATCCGAAAACAAACTCCAATCCCCCTGGGATGATTTGCAATGAATCCATAAAACCGTACGTAAGCCCTCCCTTCGAAGTACTTTTTAACCATTCCTAGCCTCAGGTCATCAGAAAATGTGATGGAGTTGGAAGTATTTTCTTGCTTCCCTTAGCCAGTTCCTAGGTCCTTCTCCCCCAAAATGTGAAAAATCCATTTTAGCCTCTTGATTTTCTCTAGAGAACCCAAAATGGGTTTCATATCTTCCAAAGATACCCCTACTAGTTTGAGATGGTGATCCAAATACTTTTATTTGTTTTTCTTTGCAATGAGCCTCGCTCCCAGATAATTGAGCTAGCATCAACACCATAGACTCCTGTGTAGCCTTCATTTCTCCCATCATTTGTTCCATTCGGTCCAGGCTAGTACAAACACCCTGTAGCATCTAGTCGATTGTTTTAAAGGCCACTCCCAGTTCACATAGCTGCTCTGATACCACTTGTTATGGTTGGGTTTCAACTTCCACCAAAACTCAACCAATAACCAATAAGCAACCAATAATCAATAACCAAATGAGTTCAATTGCAATAATATTAAACCAATAACCAACAGCAATAAACACAAGATAACCAGCAGCATAGACACAAGGTATAGAATATATATTGTAATTGCTCAAAGTGAGAACATAAACTGAAATTACTAACAATAATCAGTTAATTTTCAATCCAAAATCAGCCATTAATTCCATTAATTGATGATTCAATTACAATCCAGTTGATTACAATGGATTGCAATTAAAAGACTAATATAAAAGATATAGAAATAGACATGCAGGGAAGGAAAGTGAAGAATAGACTAAGAGTAGAAGAAGAGAGCAGAAGAACGGAGAAGAAGAAAGCTAAAGAAACGGAGAAGAAGAGGAGAAGCAAGGAAAGAGATTACCAGAGGGGAGAGAAATGCAGAAAATAGAGAAGAAGAAGAAGAGGAAGAGGAAGAAGAACCGGAAGAACCGGAGAAGAGGAAGAGGGGAGGTAGACGGCAGCAAACCACCACGATCAATTCAACAATCGACACCCTTCCAAATGCACACATACAACAACATATAGACCCAAACAACAACCCTAATGAGACTGGGCTAGCCCACTAATACAAGCCCACTTAAACAAAATAAACTAAAGGGTCCAACCCATGACAGAGTTATGCACATGTTTGACGTGGATTGAAGTAATATGATAGAAGATGTTAGAAAAGTAGATAACTTACTTAGAATGAAGTTTATAAGTAGATAACTTATTTCGAATGAAGTTTATCCATCCGCATCCAAGACCACATAGAATCACAAAGCACATTGGTCACCGATGATACGCCATCCTCCTCCCCTGATTGCAGAAGCTGCTAAACCCAATAGATTAGAAAAAACGGACCAGATATTATAGTGTAGAATAAAAAACTAGAGAAGATTCTGGAATGGAATATAGATTATTGGGTTTCTTGGGTTTACAATCGATCCATTTGGAGGAGAGATACTTGGGTAGGACAGTTATACCATCCTAACTCAAGTCTCAAAGTGGCCTTATCTCATTAGGTGAAGCTGGGCCATCAAATGAGGTGGCGGCTCCTCATTAAATAGTCACATCACGTAGATCATGCCCAAGTATTTCTCCATTTGGAGGCTGTATGCTATGCCATTTCAGCTTATTGTGCAAGGAGCAGCAATGAGGAGAGGTGAGCCGTAAGCCCTTGTTTGGGCTCCATATTAATGAATTTTGGAATAGTAATTTTTTTAAGAATGTGTGGTTAAAAAAGAAGGAAAAGTTTTGAATTTAAGTGTAATATTATTTTATTGAAAAATATGTGGTCAAAAAGAAGAAAGAGAAAAATGTATTTACATTATAATGGAGCCTAAATAGTGGCTAAATGGCATAAGGTAATTTGATTTCAATTTTAGGGTTTTTATATTTTTTCAAAGTTAAATTTTTATAATATTTTTAGTTACAGGGTCAGGTTGAATTGAATTAAATTTGGGCTAGTTTTTTATTGCAACGAGCATTGAACGTTGCAAAATACGCTTTCAACAACAGTCATTGCCCGTTGTCAAAGCTAAACATTTAACAACATGCAATGATCATCGCTCAAAAAGGAAGATTTGAAAATGCTCAATGAACAATGAAAAAGTGCAAAATATGTAAACTATTTACAACGGACGAATAAACACTCATTGATTGTTGCGAAAGATCACTTTTAGCAAAATGCAATTAAGGAATATTGCCTTTTATATGTTGCAAAATGTCATTTTCTTGTAGTATTAATTTGCTCCATTTCATAGCCCTCCAAAATTCTATGATAAAATCATCTAATGCATCTTGGAAGCTATTATTATCCCCACATCACACGATTGGACTTTTGATATCGTATTGGATGGCAAAAATATAGTTCAACACTCTGTAAGCCTTCAATTTGAAGATAATTATTCTCCATGCAAATTTTTTCAAGCCTCAAAAAATATTCCTCAAAAGCACCCATCCACGATCTTTTGTTAACGCAGTATTGATAATTCAAGTTGTTCATGTTTACTTCTTGAAGTAACGTGGTTTTGGATACTTTGCGATGATCCATAGATGAATTTTTTTAAAGTCGTCCCATTGCAACCATGGAAGGTTCCAGGATTTTTAAGAAAGCCAATGTAATAAAATTTATATATAAACAAAAAGTCGTTAAAAGGGGACATTATTTACAAGTCATTTTCGACAAGGATTTGAAACATGGTATTTATCTACAATGAAATCTAGATCTATTTTCTCAGTAAGCTCTTGTTTGATTGAAACACGCATGAAAGACGAATGAATAACGATGAATTTACCTTAAAGCCTTTGGACGGTAGAATTTGGCTTAGCCATAATGCAAGCAACGTGAATTCTCGTCAAGGGCGCTCTCCTTGGCCCTCATATTAGTAAGGTTGTTGGTTGATCCGGCCAGCATCTCCTGCATATCTACATTGATGAAAGAAAACCCATAATAGTTTTTCCCACCCTCCCTGGTGGGTACAGGCTAAACAGGAGCATTGGAGAGGGTTCAACCTAGATTTATATCTAATGGATCAACTCAGAAAGTCATGCCTGATGAAGTTCCAGAATCTGGCAGCTCATAAGGTGGTTTAAAGGCCAGAGATTTGGCACGGCAGGCAATAGAGAAGATAAAAACCACAACAAAAACCTTGCAGAGAATGAATTACTCATTTTTTAGGAGGTAGTTTCTTTCTCTGATTGCTTTCATTGATTTCCCATTTTTCTTTAGAAACGGTAACTATCATTGAAATACTACCCAACGCACCCACTCAGTCCACTTTCCACCAACTAAATTGTCAAAAACCATTATAGTTATAGATGAAATATTGCTGAAAACAGCATGACAGCCCAAAAACAACAGAAAAATGGAAGTTTGGAGTTCCATTGTGTTTCAAGATATCAGTTGTCAAAACTCATTTTCAAGACTATTTAAGCATCATTTATAATCCTAGTTTAAAGAATAAATAAATTATTCGAAGTATATGCAAAACTGACTCTGAAATGAACTTTAGAAAATGCCAAATAAGCACCTTCAAAAGCTATCTAAGATCATCAAATCCCCGATATTATTTCAACTAACTAAGATTAAACGAAAACAGACCTACAATAAATTTCCAAATTAACTGATAACTAATTACACCCACCCACCGCAAGGCACAATCCCCACCCCCATACAGCCAAACCAGATTGCCCATCCCCAGATAGCCCAAAACCAATTTGAGAAACATCATCAAACACCCCAAAAAATCAGCAGCAATAAGAGAAGGTACTAACTGAATGTATGAGCAACTTGATAGATATATAGAAAATTTCCTATGGGGATTGGTGTGATTACATCATGTTGGAGCCTGGAGAATGCACTGGCAGCCGGCAGGGGCGACGCAAGCGAATAGCAAGGTTGGGAGCGATTTCAATTCAACGATTTCGGTGAAAAAGAACGATTGAGATTTGGGTCAGGTTAAAAATACAAAAGTCCGGAATTACGCTTAGTTATCCAAATATTGACAGGCACTGGGAATTGGAATGGCAATGGGCGAGTATGGGACGGATTGGTTATCCTACCTCCATTCCATGAATATTTTGTTACCTTATCACATACACATACCCGATTAAAGCATAATGGGACGAGCCCCTGGACATAGCTCAATGGTGCAAAAAACAGGAGTGAGATTATGTCACGCCTTACTGGTAGTCGTAGTGTGGGGATTCGATTCCTGAGATATGGAATTGGACTCCTTGTAGGCACAGTGTACATGTAGCTCTTATTTACTGGCCTACTGGAGTACATTCCGCGATTTACCTCCCTCACAAAGCTCTAGGGGCGGGACGGTGGAGGCCTTCAAAATTGGGGTTCAACCTTTTTTTAAAGCATAATAGGACAAGTTCGAGACGGAATCAAGGTGGGGCAGGCCCTGCCTCATTTATCACCACCATTTTTATTTTTTACTTTTATTTTTTTAATGTCCTTAGTCAGTAAATATTATTACTTTTTTACCAATTTGTTAAATTCTCTTTAAAAATGACGATAAATATATTATTTTTGTTTGATAAAAACTTAAATTTGAAAGTAACTTTAAATGGGATGGGTAGCGGGGCGGGACTATGTTTTTCGTACCTGTCCCGTACCCGTTTCGGGAAAATAACCCTTGCCCCGTTCCCGTCCCATTTACCTGATTAGGTAGATAATCCCCGCCCCATTTGAGGCGGGACCCATGGGTATCGGGTTGAAACGATTTTTTGTCATCCCTAGCCGGTACTCATCGAAATAACATCCATTTCAAACATTTACATGAATTAATGAGATGGCTAACACAATGTACGCATGACATCTCATTGCGTAGTTGACAAAATTGCCACGTAAGAAAATGTCTTTCGTTGTTAACCAAACTTTAAAAAACATTTTCGATTAAATTTTGGAAACGTCTTTGATCACCCACTGAATTTTGAGAAACATCAACGATTGTTCATTGAACTTTGAGGTGGTTGAATCTTGGTCATTAAACTTATTAAAAAGACGTTGTTCTACTATTCGCTAAAAAA